GGTTCCGTTCACTATTTAATTTTTTGTTCCTGATTATAATTATATAATATTGTATATAGTATATACGTATGTTTGTTAAATACTAATAAAAGAAATATAATCTACTTTGAAAAAAAAATTGTTCTTTTTATTTGTAAAATAATTTGGGGGCCCCCACTCCTTTGATGCCCCGAGGCCTCCACTCCTCTAAATCCGGCCCTGGGTAATGGAGAATATTTGAGGTTATATCCTGTTATCAAATTTATGTTTGTCGGAGAACAACCCCCATCTCGTGGATGGGTATGGTCGAATTGCACTTATTTTAGTCGAATTGTACTTGGGTTTAAAAAATGTAATGGTCGAACTGCACTCGGGTAAAAAACAGATACTAGATACCTAGACCTAAACACCTGACTTATTGGAAAATTGGATGAAATATAAAAAGTTACAATCATTATATCCTTTCAATGGATTGTTCTCACTGTTCTCACTGATAAAAAAAATTCACGATAAACAATTTTCTTATGCTCGAATGAAATATGAATTGATTATTTCAAAAGTAATTGCCGCTTTTGCAATGGAACAAGTTTTAGAAGAGTTAAAAAATAATAAATTTGCAACACTTATGGTGGATACATCAAATCACAAAAATCTAAAACTCGTACCAATTCTTATCCGATATTTTAATCCCCAAGAAGGTGTACAAATCAAAGTTTTAGGATTTACAAATTTACAAGGTAAAACCGCGGATATTTTAACTAAATACATAATGGATGTTTAAAAAAAATATAACCTATCCGATAAAATAGTTACTTTTTCGGGTGATAATTGTAATAAGAATTTCGGTGGCGTCGAAAGAAAAAGCATAAAAAAATGTTTATGCAATTCTCTACGAAAATTTAAAAACAAATATTTCAGGCATTGGTTGTATGGCTTATATCTTACGTAACGCAATGCAAACCTGTACGGATATTTTGCCAATCGACATTCAATCCATAGTTAATAAACTATTTAAATTTTTTACATATATAAGTACGTTTATATTTACCTATTAGTATGACTAGTATAACTGTCTACATTTATAGTTGGCGGTTCTTCAGCGGATTTTGTAGGTTCTCTAGTAAATAGTACATTACTTCCACACCTAAATATACCTAGAGAGGACTTGCAACTCCCTGGCTTTCAAAAAAAAAAAAAATTAAATAATTAAATTAAATAAAAAAAAATTGAATGGTATTGAAACTGTTTTATTTTGCATAATTATCTATATTATTTCTATTATTTATTATTATACTTATTTTACATAATTGTCTGTAAATATTATTTATATTATGTATTATAATACTTATTTTTTAAACAATAAAGGTAACCGTCTAAGATTTTTCCAAATTCTTCAATTGAATTTCGGATTTTCAAATCGTAGCCACTAGCCCGCGTTACATTGTGGCCGTTGAAAAAAAACTAAAATTACTGTGTTATACAATTTGAAAAAAATATTTTTACGAATTCAACTATTATTATTATTATTATTGTTAATATTATAATTATTATTATCATTATCATTATTATTATTATTATTATTATTATTATTATTATTATTANGCCCGCGTTACATTGTGGCCGTTGAAAAAAAACTAAAATTACTGTGTTATACAATTTGAAAAAAATATTTTTACGAATTCAACTATTATTATTATAATTATTATTATCATTATCATTATTATTATTATTATTATTATTATTATTATTATTATTAGTATTATTATTATTATTATTACCTATACAAGCATTATTTAGAAATCAGCGTATACTTGCACGATGCACCCCTCCTGATAAAATTCCTGGCTGCGCTTATGTCTATGCAAAATCATTATAAATATTATAATTTATAATATAACAAGGTTATTATTACTTTTAACCAATTTAATAATTTTACCAATGTAATAACTTACAACGCATTGCAAAAATTTTATTGTATTTTTTATGTATGAATAACTTTTTAAGAGCATTTTTTTATAGGTTTACAGAGCATTTTTTGTGTGTTAACAACTTCCTTTAATCAATATTAGTGTTAACATTTATTATTTCTAAAAGTAGTTCTGCAAGTAATAAGCTCGTGACTTTCCACATTCGATATTTCTAAATCACTGAAATGTATAATATAAGTCCTGTTGGATGGTGTACTACTAATAATGAATGGTGTCTCACATTTGCGTACTTAGCGTTCGTAGTGGTTAGGTGAAGGCAGAAAGACAAAACTTACGTAAATATTATTTATTCTCCCAGCGAAACACGAACACTACAGGTGTATTATATTGTCCATTAATTATTTAGTGTCAGAATGGTGCATCTCCGACAAGGGAAATGCAGCTCGCGCCTTCATCTCCGATCCAAAAGTTCAATCCGGAAATATTGAGAATGACATATTTATGAAGATAACTTAATGACCAGAATGGAACTAAATATGCGAGTACATACGGCAATCGTTGTTTCTTTCAGAAAATTATCATTTGCTATACAGATTGCTTATAACTATAGTTATAACCTATAACCGAAGGATAATTTTGAATTCTTATTAAAATCTATAAGGCATTAAAACATGACAATCGCCGATCGTCGACATTGGTCAGATACTATTAACGATTTTACTCATAATTTAATTGAAAAAAAATAAAAGAATACGCTGATAATAGACGGACATATATTGTCGTTAAGCGGTATATAAATATAACATGAACTCGCTACCAGCGCATATTTTCCTTAACAATAATGTTAGTAATGTTAGACCATAAAATATTATTACATTACCTTCACTTTTTATTCTGTTCCATTTCTCTTTCCAAAGTTCTATTTCAGATTTCAATTGTGACTCTTCTAATGCTTCATCATCAAATTTATAATGTGTTACTATAGTTTCTGTGACTGTGTTAATCATCTTGTCATCAATATGAATAATATGTTTTGGGATAAGTTGAATTAATATCATTATTGTTTTGTTTTTTTTGTTTAAAAATCTTGATTTTAAGTCTTCTAATACATTGTCTAATAATGGTATAAATGCAGACACCCTGTAATATTCTTCGGTACTCTTAGATTGGTGATTAGAGCGATTAATTTGGTGTTTAGAAAGTCTTGGAGTTTTTATTTCAATGTCAAGATCTTTCATCAATAAACTGCTGTCTTCGAATAATTGTTGAAAAACTTTTTCACACTGGGTACGTTTATTTTCCAAAATACTTATAACATCTTGAATACAATCAAAGGCAGCTAAAACATCATTATCTGTTCCTTGAAGTATTTTACAAATTGGAGCTGTGACACTAAGCAAGTTAGATAATATTTCAATTGAAATAATAAACTCACAAGTACACATAGCTGTTAATAATATTTTTGCTTTCGATGAAGAATCTTGTTCACTCCACTCGGAAATATTGGTTAAGGCTTCTATAATTTGAGGTATTGATGCCTTAAAAATCATTATGCTGTCATGGCGTTCCACCCATCGGGTTTCACAAAGACTTTTTAAATGAGGCTTGCAATTTAAAACGGTTTTTAGTACAAAGTTTCTTTTGGAAGACATATTAAAAAAAGAGATTATTTCTTTTAATAGACCAACATTATTTCTAATACATTGTACGGTCGATGATTTAGAAATAGCTAAATTTAAGGCATGGTTAGCACAAGGACAGTGAACAGCATTCTTTGCGATTGATTGAATAGTTTTAACAGCTCCTCGGATTGAAGACACCATTACTGAACAACCATCTGTACCAACCCCAACGCAGTAGTCCAGGTTTAAAGAAAATTCTTTTAATATTTTAATTACTGTATTACCCAAAATGTCACCAGTAAGTTTAGGTTCACATATGTTATTGTCAGTGTCTTCTTGAATACTATATGTATATGCAAGGCAGTTAATAAATGAAATAAAATTTTCTTGCACTACGCCATTAATAATATATCGCAATATAAGAGACATCTGAGATACATGACTTATATCAGTCGTTTCATCAAATACCACACTATAAAATTTGGAATCTTTAACCTCTTTTAAAATTTGTAGTGTGATAATTTGTTTACAACAGTTAATCAGGTCATTTTGAACCCTAGGACTAATATATGTTGATTTCGACTTAGATGTTAAATGTTTTTCTAGTATAGAGTCCCCACTAAGTACTCTATACTTGAGTAGCTCACGAAAATTGCCTGAATTTACAATGGAATCATTATTGTCTAAAATATTTCCCTTTTCACGGTGGCCTCTAAACAGAATATTCTGACGGCCGAGGAATAAAATCGATTCGATGATCGGTTTGAGTCTTTTTCGATTTTCGATTACTTGACTCAGCCTCTCATTATTTATAAAATTAATAACTTCATTTTGGGGGTTGTAAAGAGTTTTCAAAAAGTCATCTGCGATTTGAATAGCAGTAATATGATATTTATTATTTCTATGTACCTCCAAGTCTCCATCCTTCCCAGTTAAATTTGAAAATTTAGTTACAGGTTCAATGATAAATTTTTTCAAAGTTATCGTGTTATACCTTCCTCCTTTATTGCTAAATAAAACACAATACTTGCAGAACAAACCGGACTTAACATGAGAATAAATTAGCCATTTGTTTTGTTCGAAATAACTTTTTCTTAATGATCTTTTCACATTCTTACCATTTCTAATATTCATAGTAAATGGATATATGAAGTCATCAGGTGGTATATTATCCATATTAATTATTTTTACTTTAATATTATCAGATAATGTACGACCGGGTGTTCTTAAAAAGTTTCCAATGTCCATATTGTATGTGTCATCACAAACTGCACTGTTACAAGTAGTTTTACTTAATTTAGTAGATTCATCATTTTGTGTCATTGTAGATGATTCAATTGGAATAATATTCTTTGAATTGAAAGATTGTGGATCAGATGTAGATGATTCAATTGGAATAATATTCTTTGAATTGGAAGATTGTGGATCAGATGTATGAAGTTTTTTCGTGATGGGTCCAGTGCTGTCATCACAACAACGCTTTTCAGCTTTTTTTGATACCCATTGAGTCAATTGTGTCTGAATGTTTGATTTAGACATAATGAATAATATTTAATTATTTAACAATTAATTCAAACAATATTTAATACAAAACAAGGAAAAAAACAATAAACTTCGTTAAAAGCGTGTATAGTAGATACAAAGTAAGTAATGATAACATCCTCATGTTGATCACTTGATATTGTGGCGTCTCGCCACAATATCAATGATAAGTGATAACCACATTATGAAATAGTGACTATATATTGTGACCATAACATTACTCCTAAGTCCTAATCCCAATTTAGTCGAATATTGACATTTTATACATAGATAATATACTATCATTATTTTATAATACATTGATAAGTGATATCAAAAACTTTTGATATCAAACACGATTAAAATCAGTGAAAATTAAAAATATTTATTATTTACATTATTTAAGCTGGACAATGAATTTGCATTATGACATCAAAAAACTTCTCGGGGGGGGGCAAATGCCCCTGTTCCCCCCCCCCCCCACAGGTACGCCACTGTCGTTAAGTACGTTCAAGTTATTTGCATATTATAATATCTCGATAGTTTCCAGGTAGAGTTCGGAAAGAGATGAAGACGGATGAAGATAGCTGTTTCTTCAACTTTGGAATACCTACTCATGGCACAGCTAGGTTTCATAAGAGTCGTCAGTCGATGATTAGGGGCGTTTAGATTTGTTTTCGTATACTATTTTGTGGCTTAAAATATTTACTTTTATAAACTTAAATTAAATATTTATTGCCAAGGACAACTGCAGTGTGAAGTAGAAGCATACTACTTTATAGCATTGGTAAAAAAGGACAATGTATAAAAATATATATATTCTCGACCCCTGCAAATGCCTTCGTTTCACCACGACAAGCTTGGTACTTATATCTATTTTGCCTAAACAAGGGCCTAAACTATATAGGTACGCTGGATAACACCTTAGGTTTACTCGACGTATTTTAAACAATATAATAATATTATAAATTTTTATGTTTTTTATACTCCTCATATTTATTAGTACCTATTTAATAGTTATATCTATTTTAGAGTAGTTTATATACCATCATTACACCCTAGATAGACAGGTATATATTAAATATTTTGCATTTATTTATTTTACTATACCGCGGAGTACCTAGTACAGAATATTCTACTGGAAAGTCAAATTAATTTTTCATGAGAGTTTGAAGTTGAAATTTTTACACCATTGGAAATTCACTCGATTTCACATGTCGCGATTTTCTTATTTTATTGTAGGTAATTCAAAAACGAATAACTGTAGACACTTGAAATGTACACAATTAGTCTGTATGTTTATTTTATCAAACCATATACTTGTTAAAATGTACAATAATATATTTTGAGTATTTTTGACTCATTTGAGCTGCTGAGGGCAGTTTAAATTTTAAATTTTTTTAGTTTTTTTTTTCTACATAAATGTCAATAAATTGCAATATATGTAATAATAAGAATATTATGTGGTCAGTTATTTTTGATATTCATGCGATTAGAGCATTTTTTCGGTTCAGACAACTGTAAATACAATGGTGCTTCTACCTCAATAATTTGGTCAATTTTCTACATTAAAATAATAATTGGAAACTGTAAATGATGGTCCTGGTCATAATGGTTCAATCAATTTCGTTGACCGAGACTCAAACAGTTTGATCCCTTTTATAGTCAGATTGGATATTTTGATAATACAATTATCATGGTTTTCACAAAAAAAAGAATACTAGATATCATATGAATATATCTTTGACGGAGGACAGTTCGTTTGATTTTTAATCAATTTTATATATTTTTTTCTTTTACCATACAACAATATTAAATATCATTCAACAATATAATGTGTGTATGATGAATGAAACCACGATTACTGTTTAGAGTATTTTAGGAAATAATATAAAAATAATATCGTTCAGGTAATATAAATAATAATTATCGACCGCACACACACACACATCATTCATCAATATTCAATATATTGTATAATAATAATAAGAATAAGAATTATAATATGCGGTCATGCGGGGCATGATTGGTCAACGAGGAGGAAAATACAAAATGGGATAAAATAAGTTGTTTTTTATGGTTTCTGATGATTTAATTTTAAATAATATGTAATGAGTAAAATAAAATGTATTTTTAGATGTGTTAGAATTGTTATCAGATAATGTTATGATTATAAAAGTTAATATTTAATTTTCATGTTGTAAATATTTTCGTTTTTAGTGGCTTACAACACTGAGATTCAACACTACCTCTCTCAAACATTAGATTTCTTAATCATTTAAATACTGAACACTACAGGACCATATTAGCATTTTTTAAATTACAGTCCTACATAATATACTTTACAATATATATATATATATATATATATATAATAATAATTGTATAATAATTCAAAACTAAAATGTATTGTCTAATTAATACGTGTATGTGAATATTTTATAAAATGCATAATCTAAATTGTATAAAATAATAAATTTAATTCGAAAGAAGTAAGAGACTGTTTTACGACAGATTTGATGTCAATTGCTCCAGATGATGAAAGGGTAGGAAAGTTCTGCGATTATTTAGAGCAAAATTCAATCCACGC